TTTTTCTCGATTTTTTTGAAAAATGTTGGAAAATGTTTACTTTTAACCTCTATAATGCACCAAGGATCTTCACTTTCACACCGGAAACCACCCCCAAAGTTTGAAATCGAAGCATTATTTCGACTAGTTATGCTGTACACAGACACACACAAAAAAAAAAAAAACACATCATTGTAAAATATAGGCAATAATTAAAAAACGGTTTAGATTCAAACTCGATATAAATCCAATGCTTGTTGTACTCGTAAACGTTTTGCCGTTCACAGGTATTATATTTATGCCAATTTGATACTATCATATTATTCGATGTATTCAATCCAATATTATAATTGGATACGATTTGGTTAATATAGAACTACGCGATTTAATCAAGATTACGAAGTAACGAATTTCCTAATCGAAAATAATTTTCCCAGAAAGCTTCGCGTCATATATTTGCTGCGATACATCACATGAATACTTACATTAACCAAATAGTTGAAACCTTGAAACACTATCATAAATAATAATATCATATGCAATCGAGACGATATTGGTTGTAATATTTATAAGTTAATTTTTTTTTTTTTAACATCTTAACTTGACTATACAGGTTTAATTGACTGCGGTCCAAATAACTTTTGTCGGTTGATTTAAAAACAACCTGTTGAGTTAAAAATATTTCGAAATTTTTCGTTTATATTATACGTATATAAATATTAAAATAAAATAAAAATTAGTTAATACCATTATAATAACACAAACATTTCTGTTCTTAAGATTAAATTAAGATTTTTAATTAAAATTAAATAGATACATTAATTCACTCTTTAAGTTCTTTATATACTAATTGAAAAAAAAAATAGATTAATTTTTTTTAAACTAAGTCGATATATTTGTGCACTATTAATTTTTAATTTATCGAATTAAATTTATAATTTGTTAAAAGTTAATTTTCAAACTATCGATCATGTGTCCTGTTGACAGGATTCAACTTGACTCAAGTTAATTATTTCCATTAACTATTGCCCACCATCGTACATATAATACTTATGTATCTATATACATAAGTATTATATGATAAGTTATTTAGATGATATTTGACAAACATTCTTGACTATACGTTGTACTTGTACTACACTACTCGTATCGTCTCATTAATAATTTAAATTTATGCGAATTCGCGATAATTGAAATAACGAGCACACAACTAATAATATATAGTGTATCTTTTATGGTAAATCCAATTCATAGTTCACAATAATAATATTATATTATRCAAAACCGTTTAGTTTCGAATGCTGACCTATAACCAACACAACAGTGCCGTAACTAACTTTATGTGCGCCCTTATTGGCAACCAATTTTATAAATTTATGATGAATTTTTAGTATTTAAATGGTATACAAATTGCGCCCCTAGTGCGATCATTTTAAACTGCGCCCTTAGCCACCGCCCACCTTGCCAATGCCTAAATAAGGCACTGCAACACAATGATGTATAAATTTAATTTTATAATTTCTAACCTAGCCTAACCCGGCCGACTTTGCTTGTCGAGAAAAACATAAAAATTAAAAAATGAAATTATTAAAAAGCTTTGTAAAAAAACTGCTGGTACCTACATTTATTTAATTACATGTGGACCTCAGCATAAAATACTCTCCCCTCGCAAAATAAAAATAAAAATGAGAACAGTTAGGCGTGGGTGACGTTACGGAAGTGGTATTCGTATATATAAGAATTCTATGAAAAAAAAAATCACATAATACTATTCAAATAATGCTTTGCCATAAACCCGGAACATTGAAATACAATGTGTGCCCTCTCCTCCATCTCCCGAGCCRAAAATAGAAAAAAACGTCGAAGCTGTTATGCACTGCAGGCGATGGGGTGGTGGTTTAGTTTGAACAACTTTTGTGAAGATAAAAAAAACGCGTGAACTTATTCAAAAGTGTAATCGGAAAAGTGGAATAACAAAATAYAATGTGTTTAGTGATGTACATCACGCTTCCACTGGCCAACAACCGGAAGAAGAAAACGATAGGCCGGGGAGGGGGTATTCGGGTATTTGGAACGACTTTGCCAAAAAAAAAAGTCGTAAAAAATCCAATAGTGCATGTTGTCAGAAACAGAGTACTAAATATATGATAACTTATCATTGATAAGTATATGTTCTTTTATATTATTGGGTAAAACGAGACAACTATTGACACTATTGTATTACCTTTATAATATATTATATTGATATGAAATGTACCTGTTAATTTATTTTTTATTTTATTAAACATTTTATTTACATTCTATACAATATAATACATAGATAATTAGAATAATAAGTAAATGCGATACAAGATTAATGACATGGACAGGCCTCAGCAATGCGCCACGGGAACTTTTTAGGTATTGCCTATTTTTGTTTTAAAAAATTTGCTTTTTTTTAGCCAAATAATATGAATAACTTATACGGTATGCACAATTAAAAAACACCAATGTCTAGAGTGTAAGTGTTTCAAGTGTCGTATATATAAATTAGTTTGACCTCAGAGATTGATTTCTAAAGACTATAATATATTCACATTAGAAACCTAATTAAAGTCGATTTTTAAATAGTGCGCTATATACTCGTATATAATACTGACGCGTGACTGCGAGGCAAAGGTTATATGAAATATTACATTATTTTTTCGTATTACATACGCTATTTATATATAAAACTTGCGTATTATATTATATTACAAGATATTTTATAATTTTTTCCTACAACAATAATTAAAGAACAAAGTTGAACGTGATTGTGTAATCATTTTTTAAATGTCATAGGAGATTTTCGTCAAATCAATTGGGTAATTGTTGAATATATTATATATATTTATTTAAAATGCCAATTTCTGAAAATCATTTCTCATATATATAGCACATCTTAAATCATTGGATCCAAATTTCTACAGTTTGTACGTTTTTTAGTTTTTGAGATGTAGCTACAGTGGCGGTGCTAGAATTTTAGGATCAGCTGGTGGACCTGGCTGAGGTCAAAATTGTTTAGGAAGGCTATAATAATGTTAATTTGATATGTATGTATGTATGTATACAAATGCCATTCCACGTTCAATATTTTCATAAACCTATTCTTATTGTCATGGTTCATGAGATCATTTTCAATAGCCAATTATAATTTATTTTAAATTTAAATGTTAGAGTGGCCCACGAGGGCCAAGACTTATTAAGATGGGCCCTGGCCCACTCCGAATCACCTCCTGGAGCCGTTTCTGTGTATACACTATAGTGTTCAGTTAGTGCGTTATTAGTTGTGTTTGGCGTTTACATATGTACGTATAGGTATCTGAAAACTATGCACTAATATTCAAAAATATTGGCTATCTCGACGCGTTAAATAGCGTAAAATTGAAATATCGAACTTTGGATCGAATATTATATATCTACTATTATAGCTATCCCACATACGTACTCACATAAATTTGATGTTAGATGATGTCTTATCATCTCCTGCGGTTTCTCATACATAATATTTCGTAATTTTCAATTTTCAATTCTTAAAATAAAAACATATGGTCACAAAATCAACGATTTTATATTTCATGTATAGCTGGTAGCTATCTATATATTTAAATATAAATCACAGAAAGAGATTTTTTTCTGGCTGGAAAATGGTATAAAAATAAAAATGATTAACTATTCTAGGTACACTGCATTTTAATTGGTTCGTTGCGATGCCAATTGTGTAAAAATAACTTGATATCTTATGAATAAAAAATATGATGGAAAAATGTAYCATGTGTTTAGTACGTCTGCCGACTGATATATAATATTTTTTTTATGTCTTCTTGTAATTGTATCAGATGTAGTTGGTGATATAATAAATGATATTAATTATATTACCTACCACGTGATATAAATCTATAATGTTGGCAAAAAATTCGTGAATATTTTGAAATAAAAAAAATGTTTTTGTTTTTTTTTTAAATTTTTTATTGGTTTTATAAAATCATGCGCTGCTAAAATTAGAAGAATCAAAGTAAGGAGTATATAATATTCCCCTACTCTAGACAAATCAAGCCTATAAAAACAATTTATATAAACTAATCGTACATCAAGTATACAATATAATATATTATATTAATGATAAAAAAAAAAAAAAATAATAATGATAATTAAAATGCAGCAACAGAAGACCGCTCTAAAATATTGTTTATAATATCGTTTGAACTTTTGAAATGAAGCGTATTTTATATCATGGTTTTTATATGGTATAATATTACATMACGACTCTAAAAAAACACTGAGTATAGATAATAACTTTATCATTATTATTTTATATCTATTAAGATCCATTTAAAACTGCTATATAATATATGAGTAGTAAAATAATAAAAATAATTGTAGTAATAATAATAATCCTGAGAATATAATATAATAATAATATATTGATTTGATCTTAAATTTGTTCATTTGAAGTTTAAAAATGTATAATTTTTTTTTATGTTAACGATCTAGAAAATTAACCCTAAGGTACGAAAAAACTTTGTTCATCGTTCATAATATATTATAAGTTATAACATAGGTACATAGATATTAATATTATCATTTTAATATATTGTAATATAATCACAATATAATTATAGTTAAACTTAATTATTATTATTATGTTTATATTGTATACGATTAAAGCAAAATCATTGAAGTCGGATATGATGAAGGGAATGGGACGAATGTTATATTTTGAACGATTACACACATGACGGATGAGGAAGAAGAGGAGAAGACAAGATGGATTTTTTTTTTATTTTTGTCTTTTTTTTTTGGTTTTTTGTTATACATGTTTACGCGCTTGTTTGCGTGTGTTCATGACGGCTTGGCTGCTTACTGCCTGTTGCGTGCTTGCTTGTTTCCTGTTAAACAATAAAAACATCAAATGAGTTAAATTCCATACACAAATACATATATACCGACTTAGGACTAGATATGGACTATAGAGTACGTTATGAAAAACTGATATATTTTCTACCGTAAGAGTGTTAATCTATCATTCAGTCAGCACGAATAGAAATTAAATTAATTCTATATTAGGTTTTATTTATTTTAAAATATAGATAAAGGTGCTGGTGCTGCTGATACTGTGTTTAAATTATATAAACTACTCGTGTGTCAATTGTTTCACGGATATTTTCGATTATTTTAGGGAAGAATATATTTTTTTAAATTTTTATCCCTGCAGCCACACCTTGTCAACCCTTGTCCCTGTATATACGATTTCCATCCACTGCAATGCTTATAAAAGGTTTAGGTAATACACAGAATTATTTATTTTATTTTATACATTTTATATGATAGCGGGATTCAATACAAATAATAAGTTATAGCAAAAGCAACATTTTTCTTCATTGTAACGCCGCAGAACATAATAATATAATATAGAGGCACTGTATTTWTAATTTTACCAGAAATCTTCGCTATTAGAGGTGAGAAAATATAGTACCTAAAATATGGTTCCAAATACATTACCTATATAGGTAATATTAATAAATACAACTATTTACCTCAATGGTATATGAGATACACGGTCGACAGAAATTCTTAGCACAATAACGACTTTGTATACAGTTTAAATACGATGCGTACGTGATTTTTGCATGCACTTTATTTTTCTAATCGTACGTGCAATGTCGGTCGTTCTGAGGAACAGGAAACAGCTGAGTCGTTAATTAACGAAGGATTATACGACCGAAGATCGTGTTACCGCTAAAAATAAGTGACACATGTGTTCCGTATCGCACGTACTAGACACTAGAGTGTTTCATGGTTAAACGGTTCGATTTTATGTAGGTACAGGATGCAATGTACATTAAATGGGTATCATGAAAATTAACCAAGTATTCTCACCCCCTCTTTGCTAAACAATGCGTTGATTACGTATCTGATTTTAGGAATTTTTAAATCTAATATAATCTTAAATCTTTAAATATCCTAAAATAAAATACATTTAAATTCTTGAAATTTTTTCTATACTACCTACTTAAAGAGTTTCCTGGGGGGAATTGTCAAATAAGAACCATTATTTTTTCAACTGTTTTTTTTTAAACTGCCGCATTAAAATCGATATTCGAACGAGTATAGTTTTTGAGTATATTTAAACTTATTGAGTTCTAATGATAAAATAGGTCAATGATAATTGCAGCGTCTGGAAGATTCAAGAAGCGCTATGATGACTTAATGATTTTAGTAGTCAATATTAATGTATCAAGATTTATAATTTAGGAAAATGTTTCAAGTATTATAAACACTAGATCCAATATTACATCTATTTTACTTTTTGTAAAACCATTTTTTAGAACTTCTATCTTTGTAGAGATAAACATTTAAATGACTGAAAAAATACTAATTTAAATTCTGAATTAAGTACGCCAACATCGTTAAAAAAATATTCGCTACATAATTTACAGTAAAAACGAGTTCCAATTTTAAGACTTAAGTTTGTGTAGGTACCACCACAACCACAATACACTTCTTCTCAGTAGTCAGTAGTACAAATATCTTAAGATTAAGTACAATTCTAAAAGTTCCAAAAATCAGAATTTAAATAAATTCATTATTAAATGAAAAATAGGGCTAAACATGGTATATAATATAATGTATAATATACATCGTACAGTCACACATTATAATGTAATAATACTAATACTACTATGACGTAACTGCAGCCTGCAGTACCATCATATACCTACATGCAACATGCAGTATGTGTTAATGAGTCGTGACATAATATTTCGGCTTTCATCCAATAACGACCTGTTGTTGCTGACATAATATTCTATAATCCAAAATTGAGTGCTTTTATATTATACAAATTTTATGGCAAACAGAACGTTTTTTTGAATTTGTTCAACCTTTAGTATCTATTCCATTCCCTAGCAAAAAAAAACCCGCAAGACTAATCGCAACGAAGGACTCAGTTTTTTTGAAATGGTATACACTATACACAACGACCAAATATTTGAATATTATTAGTATACTTTAAACAAATAGCAGCATTAGGTGTTGGTCACATATTTGTGGATTATTTTGGTATTTCATGAGATAAACAAATTATATTTAATATAAAATAATTGAACCAACTCAACTGGAATATTAGCAAATAGGTACGCCAATTCCTGCACATACAGCCATAAAAGTACACAAATATAGTTCATAAATCATAATTGATAATTATTTTCAACGAAATTATAGAAAATTAAATATTCAAACTTCAAACAGATAATAATATAAAACATACAAAAATATATCACCCTTTGGTGCAATAAATTTGTCGTTTTTGAGTTATAGTCATTGTTTTTTTTTTTTTTCTGAAATACATATATTATACGCATATATTATTATCCTGCAGCAGAGAGATACCGGCAAGCCGAATTCCCGATAGCCTAATCATCGTACTCCATACGTGATACGTATATTTTTCAGCTGACACACATAGGGATGTCATGATATTATGTATATTAGTATATTACATAAGCGCACAAACGTGAAAAATTTTATGGATATATTATATTTTATGGTTTGATAATGGTCGTGTGCATTCGGTCGAAATTCTCTGTGATCGCGTATGGTAATAAATTCCCAAACAGAAATTTTTAGTAGGTCTACGTAATAATAAATAATTAATAACCCACATATTTACTGGGAAATAATTCATGGAGCAAATACATTAAATAATAATATTTAAAATACTGCCTAGTCTCACATTTGTATTATTATCATATATATGGTTATTTTACTCCCTCAAAGCCTTCACCCCACTTAACCTGGGACGGCATGGACGGACATCCAGCCGAGTATTATATAGCTACAGAGATCATAACAGAAATAATTGACAGATTTATAATTAATTAACACTACCCACAACCTACCTATATTTATATGTAAGTAATAGTAATAAGTATAATAAATAATATTTTATATTTATAATTTTTTTTAAAGAAAAATATTTTATTTTTAGTTATATATTTAAAAAATATATAATGTACAATAGTTGAACAATCAGCTATACTGAGTGATTCGTCAAACATGCCCACCACAATTTTTATTCAGATTTTGATTTTTGGAATTTCTAAACATACTTAAAGGTTAAAGAATATATTTCCAATATTTTTTTAGATTTTTTGTAGTACTGGAGTGTCTTGTTTTTTTTACCTAAAAAGGTGGATCTTATTTGAAAATGAGGACACGAAAATTAAATGTAAAACCTTCCAAACAATTATTTTTATCGATAGATTTCTTAGGCATACGGAAATATCATGAAAATATATAATATTTGTATAATATGCTGCAGGCGATGGAAATAATTTTTTATTACGGAAACGAACGAAGTCCGCACTCCGCAGACTACCGATTGCCAAGTATACACGCCGGATACCGGCATTACAGAATAAATTAAATTTCTCGGAATATTATAGCTGTAAAGTAAGTTGTAGTCAAGTTAGATTAAATCGTTAATTTATTTAAGTCTGTTAATCGAAACGCGATGTAGCGTTGGTGATACTGTCGTTAAGCGAATTTTCAATGTCATCTGCAGTAATCACGATGGGTCGGTCGATCTATATAATTGGCTAATATATTGTTATGAACGATTAATAAATTTGTATCATATATATGGTCTTTTGTCAGAGGACTATACTTGGAAAATAATTGGTAGGGACGTAAAACTTCGGAAAATACATTTACTAAATAGAAAATTGTATTTATCTGGAATTCGGGAATCGTATTTAATTGAAACGTATTTTGTCGGAATAGTTTAAGTTCAGTAACGTACCTACATTGTTGGATAGGTATGTATTTTTTCAGAACCGTGTTGTATAATTCAATAATATACCTTTCCGAGAAAACACAATCACAACAAAATATTTTCCATAAAAATGCATTTCCAATCGAATTTGTTTCTATCATAAAATAGGTATTTCAAACGGATTATGGTTTCAAACCAATAATCCACCAACTTTTAATGCGTCACGCCATTGCCACCGGTCGGCTCGATATAAACATGCGTTCCAATAATATTGTAAGAGTCATATTATGATACAATTTCAATCATGAGAGATCGGTTCTCGGTATAGGTTAGGTTAGGTTAAATATCATAAATACCATCTATACATTCAATACTAATAAGTAATAATTAACAACCATCGATTAACCACTAACGTGTAAAGTTGGTTCGTTTCGACGATTTTATATAGTGAACTAAGTGAACTATAGGTAGTGTTCAAAAACAGATATTTTACCGTAAATCTTTGAGTCTCGTTTGAATAAAATTGACGTTTTTATATCAATAAATTATATTTGATGTACAGATCGATAAATACATTGACAAAAAATAAGGTATATTTTTCCTAGCAGACTAACGAACATATACAGTCGACTCTCCATAATTCGAAATTGACGGGACTGTTGAAAAACTTCGAATTACCGAGAATTCGAATTGTCGAGTAGTTCGAAATAACGAGAGGGCAAAAAAAATTCGAATTATAGAGAGTTRAGAAAAAAATTTTGTTTTTTATTATTGTACATACATACATATTAATTATTTCAGTAAATTAGGTGATACATGATAGAGTTATTTATTATTAATTTTAACATTTTTAATTATTTATTATT